TAATTTTATTTTAAAGTCTAATTTTGAACTTTACATCAGAGCTTGTGAAAAAGTCAAATCAACTAGTCAATTTAAAGCAAATAATCATCAATTGAAATCATGTGCAATGTGTGTATTTCATATGAGTCTATCAAATTATTCTTTTCACCTATTTTTAAAAATAGAAAAACGATTAAATGGATCAGAGCTAAAAAGTTACATCAAGCACAACTATCAAATGGAAAAATACCATACTACCGAAGTATCTGGTAGTAAAGCACTCTTTTGTGCTCCAAATTTCCTCTTGGGTTCTTGTAATTGTGGCACAAATCTCACATATTGTCATCTCGACCTACAGCGTGCAGAATAACGGGGTCAGAGTTTGCTTCTTGATCTTTTTTTTTAATCGATATTATTTTGAATTAAATTTCTTTTGTTATTGATCAGGTGTCTTCCACGATATATATTGATAATGAATTGTTGCCCAGCCCTAATTATATTGTTTTATTCTTTTAAGTTGTAACAGCAGAAATATTTGTACTAGACAAAAAAAGGTTTGGTTATTGGTATCTGTCTTGGTTTGGAGAAGCAGGAAGCTTTCGGTTGTCTTTATCGGTGCGAAAAAAAAACAGTTATCCCGCATCTCTAAAATCTGTTATTCTCAGTTTTCTGATTCAGTGTGTTTCGATGAGGCACAAAATGCAAAGTTTGACTCGCAGGATGCGATGTGAAACGATATATTTCGATCCTTTTTAGGATCCTTAGCATTTATAAGAACATTTTTAAAACTTGCTCGCTTTTGTATTCAACTTCTTAATGCTGGTTTTGTCCATTTTTGACTTAACCAATTGTGTGTTCAAAACAGCCCAGCTGTTAGATTGCGTTACCTATCAACCGCCCCCCCCCCTCCAGTGGAATTTCTCTATAGATTTTAATTTTAACCAACCACAGGCACTCCAAAAATAATGTGGGTTGAGTGAGAATGTTTTTAAGAGATTGAAGTTTGCCTCCATTTGCTCAAATGTTGTTGCGCCTCCTTGTTGTATAATGTTATATTCTGCAGGGGGCATGATGCAAGGCTGCACTGGGCTGCTGTTGTAGTGTTGCGATGCACTGATAGCAGGATGGTCCACTGGGGGAACCCAGAGCATTCTGTCTCACTGAGTGATACCCCTGTCTCCACTCACGATAAACAACATCCACGCATAATAGCAGCGTCTGCCAACCTAGCAGCGCATTCCTTCCGCCCTGCCCCCGCCACCCACCTTCCAAATCCTCAAATATATTATCTGCCTCTTTTTTTCGATTATCTTAGGAAAATGGCAAACAAGGAGGTATTATAATGTGAGTGCCGTTATTGGTGGGGACCTTCGGGTGCTGCGCAAAACTGTTGAGGAACACCTTCTTTGGTGCATTTCTTGTATCTTAATCACAGTGGGGTCAAGGTATGATGAAAGAGTGGAGGCGAAAAAAGAGCGTCAGAAGCCTAATAGTTCCTCTTAACGTTGGTGTTGTAGGAAATAAGCAAACCAAAAAAAAAATAAAAAAATCCACCGGCTACTTTCACATTGCATTTGCGGTAAATTGGCACATCAGAGGAATTGACATGGATTTATTCGCCTGTGCCTTTCAGACAAAACTTGCCAAAGCGTGACGTTGCTGTACCCAAAGTACATGTCCTGGGTGGCAGGTTGCCATGTTCACCAAATAAAATGGGTTGCGTTGTCAGCATGACAGCTACAATTTCTTTCCAAACAAAGGCGCACAGACAGTGACTCTTCGGTTTTAAACGCCAGACATGAATTTCCGTCTGTCTGTTACGCTTCTGATACGACATCCCCTAAGCTATCAAATGTAATTGATTAAAACAAACAAACATGTCAATCATCTGCAATTGAACACTTGTTTGTTTCACATTATCATCAACTAGTGATATTTTGTAGTTTGATTCAACTTGGAGCGTGCTCGGGATAACAAGTAATAATTTGGTCCCAACTATTTTACTGCTACTTTATAGAGGAAATGCACTAAAGAGCCATCTTTGTAGGACTGGGAAAATCAATTGGCAAACTGAATTTGTCGACACAAAAATTTCTGCCTCAAAACTGTCATTAGTAATTTTAAAACCATGTTTGCGCCACCTGAAATCATGTTCCTGGATAAGCTATTTAGCCTCATCGCAGTAAGTCCCATCATTGCTTGACTGGCATAAAGCATCTTCTGCTAAATCGTCATGCCCGGTTAAACTTGTCTTGGTGTACGCTGAAGCTTCTCGAGCGAATGTAGGTTAGCATCAGTTAGAGCTTCCTCCCTCCGTCTCTTATCAACACAGTGATAGAGGGTGACTCTAACGTGACCTGATTATTTCATGTTTATTAATTGAGTAATGGACGGAACAATAGCAATTTTGATTCTAAAAAGTGACATCGTTGTAGCCTCACAACTTTGCTACCTTTTTCCAATATAATGTTTTTAACTGCACAGGTGCACCCCTATTGCTTAGCTCACTTGCATAGTTGCTTTTGTATTCACCCCAAAATGCTCACTAACACTCAACAAAAGGGCAAACCAACCAGATGCGGAGAGCGAGAATCATTTTTGTCATCCTGATGATTGGCTAATTTCTTAAAATGTTCATTCCTTGTACAGATAACAATTGTGTAAAATGAAAATAGTCATCCATTGAGTCCTTGATAGATCACTAAGCATTGGTGGATAGAAAAGAAGGCTTCATTCTAAGATCTTTCTCACAGGCATGAGATGCCAGTTTGTTTAATGGCTATAGACAAGAGGACTGCAAATGTCCTCACAATATATGATGCCAATGTACCTGAGGATGGCAATCTTATATGTTGTGTAGCCCTTAGAAATATATTTTTATATATATATATATATATATATAGCACACATCTGCTGTTTCTATGTCACATTATTCACACGTACAAACACGCACGTTCCCGATGGTCCTGTATGAGATCAGAGTCTCGGCAGTCCCTCGACTGTCACTCAAGCACACATACCTGATGTGGGCGGGGCTGTGACAACTCTCAAATCTGGCAAGTCAAATGTTTTTATTTGCAGGCAAAGCGAGTCCCAGTGTGTGTGTTTGGGTTTGTGTACCATATGCAGCGCGCCAAGGAGGGCTCTCTGGAACATATTGGTGCTTGTACATAGTGGTTAATAATAGTAGCAAACGCACACGGCGATGGCAGCTCTGATGTGTGTGACAGTTTTACAGCCGCACACGCCAAGACACAGACATGCATGTGCGCGCGCACACACACACACACACACACACACACACACACACACACACACACACACACACACACACACACCTCCTGTGCCACCCGACTCTCTGTCTTTGTTGACTTCTCAATTCTATCGCAAATTCTGAAAAACAGCTACTTCCCATGCACCGACCTCACCTCCCCTCCCTTCCCCTGCGCTTCATTTTTGGGCACATGCACACGAAATATATAGGTGAGTCAAACTCAGCCACCCACACACCAAAGCATGCACACTGATACAAATGTACATGCTTAGCACCCTGACACCCCTCTTCCCCATCCATGCAAGCAAAGTCCTTGAAGCAGGCAGGAATTCACATATATCATACACTCAAATGCACTCACATTCTCACCCCCCCCCCCCTTCTGTCATAGCTCATTGTTGCTGTTGCTTGTTTGTCTGTGACAATGCTTGTGTTGTGCTGCAGTGGCAGCTTTATGGTTTGTTAAAGGGGGAGGTGGGGGGGGTCGCATGAGGGCTTTGTTGGGAGGGGGATCAGTGGCTGCTCCCCATGGCGAGGTCTTCGCAACAGTATGCAGGAGAAGCAGCAGACATCCAACTTGTCATCATCAGGATCAATTTATGTGGGCTGGCACAGGGAAACAGACGGAGTGAGAGATGGCAGAGGAGCAGCCCAACTCTCAGCTCGGACATCTCCCGTCAGAAACAAAAAGGAGATAGGCCTTGGACTCAGTGGCCAAGCTTGGCAGACATGGCAAGATAAAGCGAGACGAGTGAGGCCAGAGCGTAGACAGTCACCAGGATTAGTCTGTGGGCTTGGCGACAGCTGAAAGAGAGGTAGACGAGCGTTGACGCAGACCGTAGGAAGGAGCGCACCAGCCTGCACCTTTTTTGAGCCAGGAAAGTCAAGAGCGAGGGGCAGACAGACACACAGACAGACAGGAGCGTCAGCCGCGGTGCTGGGCGACCGCGCGGCTGTTGTGATGTGGCTCACCCATATGGTGCTCTGCTCTGTTCCTGCTCCCTGTCTAAATCCATATGCTGCCGCTAGAAAAGGTGCCCCCCCACCCCCACCGTATCCCCTCCCACCTTACTTGAAGAGCATGGAGACCCTCCCTTCCTCCCCCTCCAGCCCACAAGGGAGGTGTTGGGAGGTAAAGCCCTGAAGGCTTGTACTCCCCACCACCCCCCTTTACCTCTTAACCCCTCTGAGCTGCTTAGCCCATTGTCGCTACAATCTGCCACCACCGTAGCTTCGGCACAGTGTTTTTTTCTCTTTCTTTCTTTCTTTCTTTCTTTCTTTCTTTCTTTCTTTCTTTCTTTCTTTCTTTCTTTCTTTCTTTCTTTCTTTCTTTCTTTCTTTCTTTCTTTCTTTCTTTCTTTCTTTCTTTCTTTCTTTCTTTCTTTCTTCCTCTTCCTTCATCCTTTCATCTCCCTTTGGCACCCCATAATCGATGAACTTATTAACTGCTAATTATTCAAGCTGTGGACTGAGGATCCCTGCTTGTCTGCGGAGAAAAGGGACCACGACTACTTTGTTGAGCCACGTGAAGTCGTTGATACGGCCCATTCATTTGGATTAACTGCATTTAGGAGCCGCTGTTTAGTACTTGTCAGATTGTTATCACAAGTGATTAACTTTAATCCTCATTTTGCTCAGCCACTTGATCGTGCCCGCGAGAGTTTTTGTCATATAATACATGGCCATTATTTGTATTTTCATTTTAATATGAGTTTCTCTAAACTGTGTGTCTGTTTCGTTTTCTCAGGAGGTGCTTCAGACGATACCAAAGTTCTGCTTTCCCTTTGACATGGAAAGGTATGATTCCTCTCCCTCTCGCCTGCTTCCTTGTCCGCCCGTCCCCCTCCCCACCGCATCTCGGTTTCAACCTGTTTTACTCACACTCGCCCGCACCCACCCACACGCACACAAAACATAATTTACCTTATGATCCACTTGCACAAACTACTGAGCTCCAGGACAAGATCTGCTGTGTTGAAAGTTGCTCTTCACAAAGATGGTGAGAGACAAATTTGATAAACACAATCTTGTATGTATTAAATGATCTTCAGTTTTGTGGTTGCCGCTTGCAGTGGCAGATTCAAAATATTTGACAGGGCTCTCAGTCTCATGCACACCACTGCAAACTAAACCAATGGTTTAATTTGTATCTCAAAAAAGCACTATTATGCTTGAAATAGCAGAATTGTTGCCTCCGGTGCTTGTTTGAGCTCAGCTCATTTTCGATTGTATTCGTGGTCCTAATTTTATAATTCTTTTGCCCTCGATCCTCACACACACACACACACACACACACACACACACACATACAAACACACACGTATGTATGTATGGATATGTATGTATATAAGGAAAATGAACAAAATCAACCTATTGTCATGTTGACAGTTGCATTAACATTTTGTCACTGTCACAATATAAAGCACATGAGTATCACTTGAGCCCTGCACATAAATAAATAAATAAATAAATACATTATACATGAGCTTAGTTGACATTTTGTGGCAAACACACAAAATATAACCAGTGTTTTAAAACACTGCCAAAAAGTGAGCTTTTGTGGGCCGGCCTTTTTCTGACACATGAAACCACTCAGGCCAACATCTCTCCTCAAGGCAGTGGGGTTTTAATTTTTGGCTTGGGAAAGGGCCATGATATAATTCCCATTACAAAGAGAGCGAGAGAGACTGTGCTCCAGTGTGGTATCTTTTTTTTTCCTCCCCGTCTCCAGTAAAGCTGAGCTGCTGCCATCTAGTGGTACTCGTTTTTTTTTTGTGGCGCAAGTTTTGTGTTCTCTCCCGCTTTAGAGTTTCTCAAGTTATCATCCTGAAGAAGTATGACATAAAAATTATAACTTGAGTTTTATTGTTTGCATAATGCCATAGATTTAATGTGACCCTTTGTTACAAGGCGATTCCTCTTGTATGTGCTGTTGTTCCTCATGTCGTCTTTTAGAGTTTCCCAGAGTCATGTTGGACAGAACTTCACCTTTGTGCTGACCGATATTGATGGCAAGCAGAGGTTCGGGTTCTGTCGTCTTACTCAAGGATGCAGAGTCTGCATATGTCTTCTCAGGTAACGCGCACACACACACACACGCACGCACGCACGCACGCACACGCACGCACACACCAAAATATTCATTTATGGTCACATTTGGCATTCAGAGAGGTGTAATTATCTGAAAATAAAAATTGTTCAACAATTGTGGTTGTAGTTTGCTCAATTTTTTTCCTTCGGCTGTTCATGAACCAATTACTGTTGGTATTGTTTAATGTTTCAAGACAACCAAATAAGGAACACTGAAGGAAATATCACATGAGAGGGTGTGATGTTGACTCACCAACCTTTTTGAAACTGGGAGCTACTTCTTGACTACTGATTATTGCGAAGGGCTTCAGATTTGACTCTGTGTCAGTTACAGGTTATTCATACGATTACAAATCATGATTATTTATATAAAAGATTAAAACGAACACATTTTTCCCCCGAAATTGATTTTGATTCGGTTACCGGTTGGGTCAGAAAAGAGGGAACGATTTTGATCATTGATCTCCGAAGTAAAAGCAGATGCTTGCAAATGTCTTGTTTGGATTCACCACACAAAATAATCACTCTGCTTTCATGAAGGATTAGAAAAATCAAGGAAGATGTACTTTGGAAGGGCTGAAATCAAAGCACTTAGACCATTTTAAGATAAACAATGGCTTGAAATGAGGAATCGATTGTCAAAATAGTTGGAGATTCGTTTGTTGATGATTAATTGTCGATTCATTTGGACATCTATAGTTCTAAAGTTTTGCTCCTTTCCTGTAACTAATTCAGGAAGACTAAATCTTAGAAGGACTCAGGATTATGCACCTATGACACTATTACAATAATAAGCATCAATATCTCTCTCAAACCGTGGCCGTTAAAATAGAGCTTTTTTTCTTATCTTTGTTGAGCTGACTTTTTAAATCAACTCTTGCATTCGATGTCATTTGATTGTACCAGTGTTGTGACCAGAAGAAGTCATTTTTATTGATGTACTGTATGTCAGTGTGAGATGTGATGTCTGACGTGGATAAAACAAAAATCTGATGAAAATGAATCAAAATGCCTCTTTCTTTGTTTCACCTTTCTCATATGCTCTTCTCTGTTTTTCCAGACAGAATTAGAATTTGGCTTGTCATGAATGCAAATATGTATGTTTGATTTCTTGCTGAACTCACCTTTAGAATAAAACTGGAACGAAAGACCTTCAAATCCAAGATTTTGTAATATACAAAAAGATGTATTTTGTCTGGGAAGCCCTACTTGAAATGGTCCACGGATGTCCTGTCTTTTTTTTCCTCCATTAATTCCCCACAAGATGAAAAAAAACTCTTAGAAGCAAGCACACATTTTTTTTCAATAGTTTCTCATCCTCAGTCTTCACACTGAGATGAACTTTGCCAGATTGAGCCGTTTAAATTCTTATCTGCCCACACAAATGTGTTTGTGATTTACCCACAATTATCCAAAAGTTGAGCTTTTTTTTTTTTTTGATATTGTAAAGGTGGATATATCCTATCACAGAAGCCGTAAAGGAGAACATCAAACCCAGTTAAACTGCAGTTTCTTTGCATAATTACACCCCAACAAAGGCTATTATCATTTAATTCCCGTATAATTGCATGTTGACACAGTGTTTCTTTCTCTTTTTTCCTCAGATGTAATTACCCCACCATTACAAAGAAAGAGCACTTTGGTGCAAATCTCAGTGGACATGCGTGTGCACTTTAGAATAAACTGGAAAATGTGCAAAATTAACCCTTTTTTTTAACTCGAGCATGAAGCAGATAAACAGTTAAATGGGGAAAAGAGCACAAAGCCTCTGTGAGTGAGTGTGTGTGTGTGTGTGTGTGTGTGTGTGTGTGTGTGCGTGCGTGCGTGCGTGCGTGTGTGTGTGTGTGTGTGTGTGCGTGTGCGTGTGCGTGTGTGTGTGTTATGGTGGACAGTCGTAATTTTGTCGCTGCTCTGAACAACAATGTCCAGCCAACCCCCAACACACACACACACACACACACACACACACACACACACACACACACTCTCATGTCTTTTCTCTCTCTCTCTCTCTCTCTCTCTCTCTCTCTCTCTCTCATATTCTCTCCGTCTCTCTCCCCTCGTTATTCGGCGACTGCCACTGTGCGACAGCAAAGACGCTCTCAGTCCATAATTATGCATGAAGCTTTGCTGCCTGCCAATTAGCAGAGGCTCCCCTGTCCCTCTCGCTGAGTTAGACATGCTAATTCATTTGACATATGATGTATAAAATTCATTATGCATTCTGAGGACTTCATGGTTAATTTTTAACAGAATTGTGTGTTGAAATCTTATTTTTTATATGTGTTTGTTTTTTTTAACTGAAAATATATTTTAAAGGGCATTTGAAGCAAAACGTGGAACTACATTTCCTGTCAAATGCCTTGCAGGCACCCAATATTTTAGCTTTGATTTTTCTTGCAATAGCTTTATTTGACAATATTAATCAGGCGTCATATTTTAACCATCAGTGCCTCATAGAAGAACTTTAAATATGTCTTCTTAAAATCTGAAGCAGAGAGACTGAGGCCCCAATTGAATCCGTACTTCTAATGTACAATCTCCAGTCGATTTGAAATGAAAGTGATGACGAATGTTTTTGCCTCTTTGATTGTTGAAGTGCTGGGACAATAAAATTGTCACCTCTGCTCACACAAGGAAGTTCCTTCATGAGGGGGACCGTTTTATGTGGACGGAAGTTTGAGAATGCTTTGGCGTAAAAAGGGCCACGGCGTCCTTTCAGGCAGCTGAAAAACAAAACAAATAATGATTGTTTGTTTTTAATGCCATTTTGATGTTATTCAGTCATTCTTCTCTTCTGTCATTGCCTGACATGCCTAAGTGGAAGAATTTCTGTCAGAGATGGTGATTGTTCACTGATGGGGGGAGGGGATAATTTCCTGCATTTTACTTGACTGGGGAGCCTTTCGGATACACTTAAGCGACGACACTGCGCTGGTTAGTGGATGTTTAACGGGTTCCTGGGAGTGTGGGGGGCGAGTACCGCTTCCTCTTTTGTGTGTAACCCTCGACCTGCAAATGTAAAGGTGAAATGAAATCTTCCACAGAGGGGTCTCCAAAGTGTCGGATACGTTTGAATATTAGGTGCTTGTGTACTTAAGGAGATTTAAGACTGAGCTGAGAGACCAGCAGTAAAAGTCAGCACCCCACCGGTGATTCAAAGCTATTAAAAAGACAGAAAAGATTGCGCAGGATTAATCAGGAGGTTGTACAGATACAAGAAATAAATTTTGTATAGAATTACAATAGAATCAAGTTCTTCTTTTTGACATATTGGTGATTGAGTGCCTAATTGTATTTTTAAAGTCACTGCCGGATCTCAATGTTTTGATGCATGACTTTTTTTTAGCCTGGGATGGGGGGGGTGCGGGGATGAACCGGTTTCCTCTTGGAGTGCAGGGCACTTTGAAAAGACATGTTTAAAAAGGCTTGGACTGTGTGTGGGGGGGAGCGCGGGGCACTTTAGTGATGGATGCCTCTCTCTCTCTATCAGAGGATTTGCCTTGCACAAACACTTCTGAGCAATGAACTGTGACGAGTAGGAGTATATCTCTGAGTGCAGCTCCTAACATAAATTTAGCAATAACAAGAGAACCCGAGCTGGAGGATAACCAGGACAAATCACTGCATTAAGGACTGATATTAATTTCACATCATTTTGAATAAAGCAACAACTCCTTTTATACACTGTAAAACAGGAGTATTGGTTATTTGTGGCGGACTTCTTTCACCACCAATCAATCATGTGTTTCCCTCGAAAAACAAAGAAGGTGCAGTGCAGCCTAATGACAGAGTTCTGTGAAGCTTGACGGCTGTTCAGGCAGCCAGAGTTGTTAATTTTTAATTTATATATTTTTTTAAACAACATTCACTTCAGCAGTGAAAAATGAAGGATTTATGTCTGGAAGCCTGGATTTCGAAACAGGAGTTGTGAAGGAGACAAAAAATTCGAAAGCTTTGTTCTTAGTTGTTCCATCTGGGTGAAGATTTATTAATTTTTTTCTGTATGGCTTCAACGTAAACTGACCTCATCTGCAAGCATTCGTGCTGTATGTTTTTTGACATGGCAGAAATAGGCTGATATGCAGTCAGCATGTGAATTAACTAAAGCGTGTTTGATTCGGTCGCCCCCTGCAAGTGTGACCCGATTGCGGTAAGTCTTCATGCAGATGTCAAAATAGAGGCATGTTAAGAGGCTGATTGTTTCAGACTAATGGTCACTCAGCCCCTCTGATTGGTGCGCTTGGCTGCACTTCCCCAGGAACCCGCCCTGTCATTGGCCCCTTGCGGATTTAGCGATATGAAAATTTGCATTCGGTTCACTTTATTGTTTTCTCGTTGTCTGTTAATTCCAGTCTACAGAGCAGCCAGTGACCCATGGCCTGGAAGCTCTTCAGTCTCCAGCCGACTGCCAAAGCAGGACTAGGACTCACACACTGCAAGCCCACAAAGAATTGTTTTATACAAATGCTTTTAATAATATTTGTCACACATTTTAATGAATTTAAAGGCCACTTAAGCACTGCGGCGTCCACTTTTGATTCATTGGCCCAATTCACGAATTGCTGCATTGTCAAATGAATTTTAAAACCACATGCATCAAAGACGTGTTGATAAGGCACGAATGGGAATTTGTGTTTATTTAACACTGAAATGTCCTTACCTGGAATCATTATTCATGCTGTGTTCGAAAATCCATGTTAAAAAGCAAAAGTGAATGTAAATTCAATATCTTGACGGAACAGCATGTTTTCACACTTTGGTTGCATAACATTAAATCAGCGGATCCCTCACAGCCAAACGAAAAGTGTTGGCCTTCTTCCACCAAGAAAGCAAGCTTGGCCAAGAATATGTCAACCTTGTAAAGAAAGCCATGCTGCAGATGCTTTTAGCTTATGCTGACCGTACTTAGTGATAAGCTTTAACACAAAGAAGCTGGGCAAACTATATTATGCTTGTTAATTAATTCATTTTTTGTCCATTAATTACATCTTTGTAATATGTGATGGGGCATGAAAAAGAAAGCGGGCAGAAATGGAGCATGTTGGAGGAGAAGAAGAGGGTAGGAAGCATCTTTGGCTGCATTTTAGTTTCCCGTCTGTGAACAGCATGGCAGTAAACTGTAGCATCCTTGCTGTTCCTTCTTTGTATTAGAATCTGTTATGCACTGTTATGCACGGAGGCAGTAGAAGGACAAGCTCTTCTACTGCCTCCTAGTTTTGGATGAAAGAACAGATATGAGAGGAATTCATAAAATGCCGAGGCCCATCAGTATGAAGAATGTCATAATGAGCTGATTGTGTGTGTGTGTGTTTTTTTTTTTTTTTACCTCTACAATTGTGTGTTGTTGATACTGTTTAAATTTATATTTAAGGTCACGGATGCTATCCAGTTGTGTATTGTCTGTTTTAGATTACAACATGTATTTTTTTTAACGGTCTTTTAATAAATATGAATATATTGTATATTAAAAGCGCCCTGCCCCAAGTCAGCGGGCATAGGCTCATTCACGACCCTCAAGGGGCCAAATGCTGGAGAAAATGAATGGAAGGCTATCTAGCAAAATTAACACAATTATATTCATCACCCAAGTTATTCTTAAAACAGGAAAGTAGACATTTTATTTTTATTTAAATTTTTTGGTCGAATTAGTATTTATTTCATTAGAATAATGTACTTACCTTTGTAAAAAATGAGTTTTGTGGCTGGGAAACATTTTTGTTGGCAGTTTTTGCAAAACTTTGCCTTATTCAGGCACAATGGAGCTTGTTTTACTGAAAAATAGTCCATTGAACTTTTGCCAGCCTTTTCATATAATTTTCTTCTAAATTCCTGTGGAAATACATTGAAATGTTTGTTTATGAAAACGTGCCATTTTTTTTTTTGTATTTGCAGTTATCTTCCGTGGTTTGAGATCTACTACAAGCTGTTGAACACCCTTGCAGACTATCTAACAAGACAACAGGTAATCATCTCGTTTGCACATTTAGCGACTCACCGTTATCGGATGTTGTACATGTAGTGATTGACAAGTGCAAACAAGGAAAACAAAGAGGTGGTAATGAAAGCACAGCCCCCTTGAATAGGGAAGAAAAAAAGGTTCAATACTTCTCCACACTGGCATGTTGCTTGCCATCTTGGGCTCAGCTGTGCTGCTGTTATGTTGACATTTCACAGACCAAACACCGATCTAAAAAAGTTATTCCCGGTGATTTAGTGCAAGACAAACCTTTAACACACATACACACACACATACGCTCCCAAATGCTTACCACTCGCAAAAGTCTTTTCCCCTGACTATTCACTGCGATACCGCAGCAAAGGGAGGGGAAATGTAAAATATGCAACAAACTGGGGAGATGTGCAACATGTAGCGCAGAGAGGGCTGAGGTGAAAGGAAGAGGGAGGGAGAGACATATCACGCTGTGGGACCGCTTTCACTTGTCATGTTGGTGCTTCTTCCGCAAACCCTCGGAGAGAGCCTTGTTAAAAGAGAACAATCAGGAACGCGTGCATCTTACATAAGCATTTAAAATAAACCGTCTGATTCAAACTGACTCACCCGCATAATGTAATAAATAGGGAGCGAGGGTACGCCGAGGCGGACAGTTAAGTGTGTGAGGAAGAGAGAAGTTACTGGAAATCCTGGATGCCTTATCTGTTAGTGTGCATGATTTGATTTGTATTTACCCCGCTGCCCGTTCCAGGCGAGAGGGGAGATGTTGACAGACAAGGGAAGACAGAAGAGCGATGAGGGTTTAAGGCGAGGGCTAAATGAACTGTTTCCCCAGGCCGTGTTGTTGACCATGCGTGTGAGCATTGAGCTTCTCATGACAAGGAGGCTGTTCGATTGCACACACCCGAACACCCTCTTCCCTTGCCCCCACCCCACCTCGGCGCTCACTGTACATCACCGCCCCGTCCTCGCTCGCTTGCACACACACGTACACTCCATACATTTACGCCTATCCCCACAGAAGCAGTGGCTGCCTGCCAAAACCTAAGCAAAGTTCACTGAGAGAGAAAAACATATCAAACAAAGAACAATCCCAGTGTTCACAGTAGCGGCTTTAACTGAAAGTGGCAAAGTGCTGTCCCCTTCTGATCTTCGGCAAGAGGCCCAGCAGCGGAAAATAGCAGTCTTGTCATGGAGCTCATAAATGCTGCTAGAATAATTTCTGAGCCTGTTCTGTGGTCAAGTGAGCTCTCTGAAGGTTTCTGAAAGCCCTTGTCTTTGGAGTGGGGGGGCAGGGGTGGGTACGGGCTCGCTTAATTACTGACAGCACTCTCTCGCCTGGAAAATCAACATTGCTGGATAATGGCTGTCTGCAGCCAGAAAGTCAGCCCCTTGTAACCTCACCGTCTTTTATTCAGCGTATACTGTTGGGACAAAAATATTGGGACAGTGCAATTACACTTCCATGAAAATAGTGGAAAACAGAGTTGGTTTTCTCTTGGCAGCTAGCTAGTCATCAATCAGCGAGAGCACAAGACTTCTTAGTCCTTTAGAGTTTTTTTTGGGGGGGTGGGGGCAAACAAATGAACAAATAAATAAATAAATACAACTGTTTAGACAAAAAAATGAAAAATGACAAGGTTTTATTTGCAAATGTACATTTTCATCCACATATAATAATTGTGGCACCAAGCCCAATGAGTAAATAATATCCATGTGTCTGTTTGCTTCTTAAACAGAATAATGACTTGAATGACATGCTGAATTCTCTGTACGATCTTCCTGTGCCAAAGCCCTTCACGCCAGTCAACTTGAGTGTGGTAAGAAAAAGTTGTGTTGATCTAATTTGCCCTTTCTACCATGCCAAGGCATAGAGAAATTTACGGTTTACTTATAAGCCATGATACGAATTCAAAACCTTTCACTCATCTTCGTTATTACCATCCCACATTGTACACTTGGCATGTTTGCTGTAAATGTCTCACTGTTGGGTTTTTTTCTCCCAATTTTGTGGCATCATCTCTAATATACACTGCACAGTTTGGGTGTCACTGTTCCAGGGCAGGAACGCCTTCCTGCAGCGGAAAGAATACAGCACAAATGGACTGGATATCCATAAATCAAATTTGAAACAAGCCTCTTTCAGATGTGGCTAAATCTCAGATATGGATTTGTTATTATTGTTCCTATCATTAAAATTTTGAGCTGGATTTCAGTGCTCAATAAAGATAAACATGGTGACATCAGATAGACGCCATTTGAAAAGATGTATTGGTGGACTGTTTAATAAAAAAAAAAAAAAAAAAATCCATAAATAGGCACCGAATCGACCTGCAGTGTAAATAGGAGTAAAGCTGCTCTGTAGTCAACTGTTGCATCAACAAGAGGATAATAACAGTTGACTATAAGGGAATGGGAGAAAGAGGGCAAGAAGACAAAGGAAGAAGGAAGAAAATAAGGCAGAAATGGAGAGATTAGCAAACTGCGGCAATGGAGGAGAGCGACCGGAGAGCAGGAGAAAATTAAGATGTGCTCGAATGCAGCAGAAAGACACCGAAGGCCCTGGACTGGCACTCTGTTTGGAAACAACAAGAACCGCTAGCAGGTTTTAGTGAGATAAGCCTGAGCCGTTTCAAAATGTACGTGTGCTTTCATAACTCGTCATGTCTTCTGCTTATCAAAAAGTGGAATGGCTTAACGAGGCCAAGCCCTTCAAAGTTGAAAGAGTGTTTGTGTCCATTCTTGACAGCAACTCCCCTGCTGCGTTTCCACCGCATACATAAAACACACTTTCTTAAACAGGTGGCATTAACCTGCCCTCTGATGGTCTTCAGCGAGTATTTTGTGCACTATAATTTCGGTGTTTGGTTTGCTTTTCCCTCACTGTGTAACGGCATCAAACACTTTTGTTGTTTTTGGCTTTATTCATAGGGACACTCCCGTTTTGATTTTGATTTTTTCAGACAGTTAAACAACTCCAGGTCCCAGCAAGGATACACATTATTAAGATAACTTTACAACATGACAATAATATGACACCATCAAAATATCAAAATGAAGGTTAACAAGTTCAATTAAGATTCTTTATGATTTCATCTTCTTTTGTGTCAACTCTTAAAAAAAAAAAAGCTCGTGAATGTCAGGGCATCATTGAGAAAGATGCCGCAGGAACAAAAGTGATAGCTTCATGTTTTTTCAAGACAAGCCACTTGTTTGATAATTAATTGATGAAGCGAGTTATTCCCTGAAAGTGTTTTTTTTTTTTTTAATCATGCCAGCCAAGAATAGGAACCCTTGTCCCCTTTCATGTGTGAACCCTGTTTTGCTCTTTTTTCTCCCTCTCTCATTGGGCAAGAATGAGCAGTTGTATATTGCCACTGGGCAAGTACTGAGAGATCAGCGAAGCAAGGAACCGGTGAGTGAATGGCAGGAAGGGAGGAGGTGGTGGAGGAGGAGGAGGAGGAGGAGGAAAGGAGGCTGCTGTGAAATGTGAAACCGCCGCTGTACTAACCACATGGGAGCCACAGCTTTCCAATCTGGCCAAATAAGCTGCACTATCTTTTTAAACATAACAAAAACAAACTATCCTGGGCTTTGGTGTATGCTGCTGCTTCTCTGGAAAACAATCAAACTTTGTAAATGATTAATGCCTTTCCACATCACCATACTCTCACCATGAATATCAAGGTTTTTGTTGTTTTTTTTTTACTTACATTTTATGTTTAAAGCAAAGGCAATTGTGCTCAAAAAATCTCCTTGATGCCTTTCCAGTTAACCCACTTTCAGTGTTTTTGTATAAACATAACTTCGAAAGAAGAAGAAAGCAGACGAGTGAGCAAGCAGCCGTTGAAAGCCTGGAGTGAATTATGGAGCCGGATTTGTTATTTCCATAATGCCATGGATTTGTAGACCAATGGGAAAAACGTAATCTAGCACACGGAACACACAAACAGAACACAGGGATCCATAATACGATGTTTATTTTCCATAAATCTTGTTTGTAGTACAGTTAATGTCGGTGTCTTTTTTTTTCTGACAGAGGTTATTGCTTGGTTAGGCTCAGTTGATATCATTCGTTGTCAAGAGTAAATAACACTTGTCAAGTAGGGGCGAGATGATGAGAGATCATTTTGTTGCAGGATGAATTAAAGTCGAGGCTGTCAACTATCTCAGTTTACAAATATCTTAAATTTTATCATAGACTGTCACAATGCTGGACAATAACCACCGCCTGCAGTGACCTCTGTGACCACGACGACACGCTTTTTAATCTCGGAATAGATGAATCATCGTTGCATTTTGTTATCAAATTTGGTATAAACATTCACTGGTGTTGGTAAGCGCTTCAGCTATCTGGTTTCTTGTTTTGCACTGGAAGCTCTTGGAAAATATGCTTAAACAAAATGTCAAGTAGTCATTAATCACATATCTTTTGTTGCAGAAGAAATCAGCTTTGGAATTCTGTTAGCTTCATGTTTGTGTTGCATGTTTGCCTGATGCAACAAACGAGACCCTCCGGCTCAGGAAGTATAGCCATTTGAAGAATAACATACAGTTTTTTCAGCTTTTGTCCATAATGTAGAAACACCGAGGAGAGGAATATTTTGTACTGTTTACCCTCGCATTTTCTTGAGTAATTATGCAGATTTGCGCCATTTCTTACTGTGCCTCAATTGAGTATTTATGACCACATTGGCATCCTCTCTACAGAAGGTAAAGAAAAATAGAACATTTATGTACAGTGCATGTAAGTAGGTGAATACAGTCCTCAGATGTAAATTATTTGGATGATGTCTGGAGTTCATGGAGCATTGTCTTTAAGTCCCTCCAAAATTCCCCCCTCCGATTCTGTTGGGTTCTCTGGGTTCCTACATTTCTCCTATCAATTCTTCTTGACAGGGCGGGTGGCATGGTGGTCAACTGGTTAGCACGTCGGCCTCAACATGTGAGGGTGCATGGTTCGATTCTGGCTCCGGGCTTCCTGTGGGGGGTTTGCATGTTCCTGCGCGGGTTTTCTCCGAGTACTCCGGTTTTCTCCCACATTCCAAAAACATGCATGGCAGGTTGTTTGGGCATACAAATTGTCCCTCGTTGTGATTGTGAGCGTGAATGGTTGTTCGTCTATGTGTGCCCTGCGATTGGCTGGCAACCGGTTCAGGGTGTACCCTTCCTACTGCGTGACGACAGCTGGGATAGGCTTCATCACGCCCACGACCCTTGTGAGGCTAAGCGGATTACAAAATGAATGGATGGATGGATGGATTGATTCTTCTCTACCTTGAATCAGACAATTTTGTTCACCGTCTTTGTATTGAGATTATTTGATTGAGAGATTTTTCCACGGTTGCAAATTCACGTATGGCAGCAGTTGAATTAACATTCTGAAGGCAAATGTGGCGCACTTTGAAACATATTTAAATGTAGTTATTGTTCGATGCTCTTAAAATACTCTGTCAAGGTTTTAAGGGACACGCCGGCAACAGATGGCTGAGTGAGGTGGTTCGTGCTTCACTTGGTGCTTTGCCTACCTGTCTCCAGACAGAACCCCTCTCCGGCCTCTTTGATGGGAACACTAAATGTGCCCTGCTCTCCCAAAGTGAGACAGGCAGCTCTGTGATCCTCTAAACAACCCGTGTTTGTGTGCGTGCGTGCGCTGGCACACACAAGTGTTGCTGCTCCACAAGCCTTTCTAATGCTTAAATAAAGACTCAGTTTTCCACCAGAGACATCACCCCAGTCTGTGTCTATGGGGAGATGGGTTTCTATTGAGTGTTCTCTGTTCTGCAAGCCCGATAAAAGCAGCGCCACAGTTCAGACACCAGCTCAGCAATTCATATAGACAGAGCTGAAGATGAGCCATAAATCATAGAACAAAGTCAAACCCTCCCCCCCTCATTTTCTTCTATGTAAGTGGTATGCATCACTTGTGACCTTCTCTCTTCTTTCTCCTGCATGTTTGTGTTTTCCGCAGCACTCCTACTTCATCGCCCCGGATATCAATGGACTGCCAACTATCCCAGAGAGTGTAGGTATTTGTGGAAAACCAGACAGAAGAGAGATAAAGTGAGCCCTCTCTTCTGGAAACATCTCTGCCTCTAATCGTATTTAACCAGATACACTTGTCATCTTTTGAAATTATTGCATCATCCTCTTGTTTCAGTTTTGTCTCCTGGCGCTGATACATTTTCATGTTGAAGTTCAGTGACTTGCATGGGTATTAGATACTTCAGATTTAACTCGCCCTTTTCCCTGTTGAGTTTTGTGTTGGAAGTAGAATTCAGTCAGGCGTCTGCGCATGCAAATGTTAACCTCTTTAATTCTGTGTTTTCACTGTTGGCTTTTACAACAAAGTAATCGGCGCACGGTTGTAGCTCAGGTACAGTACGTCTGTGCAACGAGAGCACGCACTCGAACCGTCTGAATCCTTGACACCTTTCTGTAACATGTTGTACAAGGACAGTTTGTTATGTGCCTGCATATATCGCTTCTTTTCTGCCTCTTTCTAGAGAAACCTGACAGAATACTTTGTGGCTGTGGATGTCAACAACATGCTGCAACTCTACGGCAGTATGCTTCACGAGCGGCGCATCATCATTACCTCAAGCAAGCTGAGCACTGTGAGTCCATTGGCTGGGATCAGCCACAGGAAAGAAGCTTTTCGAAACAGTGTGTGCCACATAGTGTCAGTTACTCATGCGACACAATCAGTTGGGCGCGGCTTGCGTTCATTTTATATGGCATTTAATGAATCCCCAGGGAACAGTAGTTCTGAAAGAAGATTCAGGTTGGGCTCGGGATTGAACCTCGCTTGCCTGTACTTGGCCCAGGTACTCGAGCTTTCTCCCTGGCCCCAAAATTATGGACAGTATTAAATTCGTTACCGGTATGGGTGACTGTGAGTGGTTGTCTGTCTCTCGGTATTTGTCCTGTGAGTGACTGGTGATGATGTCATGGTATTCACTGCATCGCACTCGATGCTGGTTGGGATAGGTTCCAGTTTTCCCAAGCAGAATTAACTTCATAATTCCCATCATAATTTATTTGGGTTTTGAATCCACACTCTCTGGTCCGAGGTCAGATCAATATCGACGGTGCGACTGAACTACTGCAACGGCAAAGAATTGTTCACAGCAGGGCCTCAGTTTTGTTTCTCTTGACTGGGGATTTGTGCAAGGAAGATGCGATTCTCCTCTCTGTATATGGCACTCTAGTCATAAGTTTAAATGCACTTGAGTAACCAACTTCAAACTGCACCCCAATTCTGGAAATAAATGTTGAGGTCAAATTTCATACATTTGAGGCCAAAGGGAGAGTAAAATGGGAGTTAATGATGTGTGTGTGTGTGTGTGTGTGTGTGTGTGTGTGTGTGTGTGTGTGTGTGTGTGTTTTAGATTGCATTGTGCATTTTTTTTAAAGCTTTGTGTTGGAGCCACAATTGAGTTAAGATAGAAAGATAGGCTTCCTATGGAGTTAAGTTAAAAAAAACAAAAAACAAAAAAAAAAAAACATGAACTACTGTAATGCCGTCACATGTGGGCAAGGAGAGCCACAGTCGCTGAACACGATATACAGTCAAACACACAAATACAAAATTAGAAAACTTGAGGGGCCCACCATAGCCACAAGGCTCACAACCTGACTGCAGCTGCTGATGTCACTCACTAGCCGACACCCCTTCAAGGCACACATCCAACACATGGGAAAAAAATGTTTATTGCTTCACATTGCCCTTTTTTAACGTTGTTTAGGGGTGTAATACAAACCAATTTGAATTGGAAAATTGGTTGCGATTTAACCGAATCATTATATTTGAATATGTACCGTTCTTGAATCGTATCGTACCCTATGATGCGAATCGTCGAATATGCGAAATATACACAGTGTGTAAAATGGCTTTGTAAGTTTCATGTTGCTGATGATTTGTTGATTATTTAAATTTTAATTAACTTGAACAATTTGTGATTTGGAGAGTTTTTCGATGCTGTTGCCTATTAATAAACATGATAAAAGCTACGGCCATAGCATACCTTCATCCCACTGAATTGAACCTAATTCAATAGTTCCACTTGAAAATGTACCGTTCTTGAAACTTATTGTACCTCATATATCGTGATACGTATCGAATCATCAATTATTATAGCGATGTTTTATACATTATGATGTTTGTATTCTTCTTGTTGTAATTTGTATTTATTTTTTCATAGAAACCGTTTTTTTTTTTGGGTGGGGGTGGTGGAAAAATGAATGACCTTTCAATTAATTTCAAAGGGGAAAATGTTGATACTGTTCTAGTGAATAGAGTTACCAGCTTGGTCACACGACGGATTAAAATCATAACTCAAGGTACCACTCTATTGATTTACAGCCTCGGAGATACAATGTCTTCTTTATATGGATTTCACATTCTAATTTAGCCAGAATGTCTAATAATTGAATATGAAGCGCTTCATCAGTATTCCAGCAGGATATCAAAACCCCAAAAAGTAGGAAGAGACAATTCCTCTGACACGCAAGGCTGCTTGTGCAGAGTTGAACATCCCCCCGCAGTCAAACGGTTCCGCAAGTAGCAAGATCTGATAGTCACTCCAAAGCTGGATTATATTTGACTGTCTTGTAACTCGAAAATAATATTGGACCAAAAGCCTTAAATGATCACTTATTGGATGTCTTAACTCACATAACTGAAAGCAACTTGTGTCTGTTTCGATGAGGGAGGGAATCCTTCTAATTCTCTCCCCCTTTCTTCCTTCCTCTGTTCCCTATTCCGCCCTCCGAGCCTTATCTTTGTGTTTGCTGAGGCAGAGCCAAATGTTTATGACAGATGAGATGGAAGAGGGAAGTGATGTCATCCCAGTCCTATCTGTATCTCTCATGTAGCTGATTCTGCCCGGGTCTCAACACTTGAACAGCCGAAGGGCCCCGCGCTGTTGATGGGTGTTGGCAGCACCCAAGGTCTCCCATATGAGCCGCATATAGGCAAAGCTGTAAAATTCAGCCAGCCCTCCGAGACTTTCACCTGTCTCCCATCAGCCTCTCAAAACAGCAGCACCTGTCCTCACACCGCGGTCACACAATGAACAGCGTCAGACTCGAGAGTGAAATAGTTTTTTTTCTCTCTCTCTCAAGCAGAACGAAGACGGTGGATGCGGTTTGCTCAAATGTGATTTAGATTTGTCTGCTACCCTGAGACAATTATGTTCGTTTTACTTTTCTTAACAAAGCAATTCTTCGTCAGACCTTTTCCTCTCTGTCTTTTATCCTTTGCAATCCATCATCCACTCATCTGTCGATCCATCTATCTTCCTCTGGGAGGGCTGTTTTGGTTTGGCAGCAGTATATGTCAGACACTGTAGTACAAAGGTATTTTCACATCCCCGCTGGGATTACTTGCAGGCCCTTGCATTATTGCTGCTCCTGTGATGCATTATTTTTTTTTTCCCACTGTTGGGGAGGACTGACCTCCAAGTTCAAAAGGAAAAGCTTGCCACAATAATGCATACTTAGCTGTAAAGAACCCAGCTTATTATCCAGCCCGGTGCCTCGTGATCAAATACTTGAATAGGTGATGAATATATAATTGGTGTCAATTTGTCATAATGTTTGATAAAGTGACTGTTGGCAGTCAGTAGATGGACGGTAATATTTTCAAAAGCTTATTTTTTGCTGCAGAGAGTGGAGGGATTGTTGTGTCATTGCTGAGAGACGAGCGCTCACACAAATATTTTCTCCGTAGTCGCAGCGCCAGTGCTCATCACTTCAAAGAATAAATTGTGTTGCTCATTAGGGATAGGTGAGCTGTTTTTCCCCCCGCTAAAATATATATATATATATATGTATATGTATATGTATATATATATGTGTGTGTATATGTATATGTATATATATATATGTGTATATGTATATGTGTATATGTATATTAGGGTGGTCCATTTTGGAAAAGTTTGTCGGATTCGTCGGGCCGGGTCGGAAATCTTGTCGATACTATGACACAAGGATGTGTGCAAAATTTTATTCCGATCGGATAATTTTATCCCGTCCCGCAGAGCGACCAAAGTTTCCCCTATGGAAAGAATGTTACGGGGCTGAATGGTAGTACGGTTTCTCCCGTACAGTAAGGATTTTGTTTTGCTCAGTTCGCACTTGCAATAATTCAAAGACGGAAGACAGGAACGCATGTATTGCAAAAAAGGCAACCGTGGTGATCCTGCAACACTGGTGAGATTGTTGGTCCATGTTAACTGGTCCATCTGTCTATCTGTACATCTGTCTACATCGCGCGACTGTCTGGAAGTGATCCGATCCGTTTTGCATTTTTTTCAGGCCGGGAGTGGTGC